CCTTGATCATATATTGATTCAATATTAGCAGCTGTATTAATTGAATTAGCTGATGGACGATCAGATTTTCTTGTATTTGTTAAACCTTGACATTCAGATGTGTCAGAAAAGAATGGTGGATTACACATAAGAAAATCATAATATTTTGTTCGATCAATTAAACCATCAAATAATGCTGATGAATTCATTAATATAACTGAAAAATAAAATTCTTATCAAAGTAAAAAAAAAAGCTGTGAGAACAATCTCTGCCAGATTATACTATGAAATACCATGTAGCTGCTATTAGAAGATTGATTTTATTTGAACTATTTTAGGACATATTTCTTCACTAGTCTTTTAGTTAATCTTTCAAAAATGTAATGAGAAACTGGACATTATTAATATAAGAGTCTGTAATCGTATATAAATAATATTTATGATGACTTGCTGTTTACGAGAGAATTTCTTAGGCGATCTTTTTCCGACTTCAGTGAGTATTGTCTAGAGATACTAGCTAGTGTTGTAATAAAAATCCTAAAAAAGAATTTGAGTTCCTATTAAGATTTGCCTAAACTTTTAGATTTTTGTGTAATGTTTATTTTGTAGAGGCTCCAAGTTTTTCAGAGAATTCGTATTTTTGGAGCTTGATCTAATATATTGTGCATATAGAAAACTTAATTAGACTAACTCTTATTTCAAAAAAAGATGCATAGGATTTTTGTACACATTTGATAGAGACAACATATAGAGCTGCATTTTTCGTCTTTCGAAAGAGGAGATGAAACCTCACGGAATAATCTGTTACAAATTTTTTTTAACCCGATTTTTTTATGTTTTCAGTCGACCTTTTTGAACATCAACGTATCCTATACCCTCCTACAAAATTACATAAGCATTAGATTGTTAAATTTAGTTATTTAGCAGTCATAGGTATTTAAGTCCAAACTCTAGACCGAACTTTCAAGAAATATCTGTGAAAACAATTATAATTTTGTTCTTTTTCTTATGTTAAAATAAAGCATTTCTCTGACACTTCTTCTTTTTTTTTTTTATAAATGTGATTAAAAATCTTCATAAGAGGTCTTAGAAAAACTTGTAATATATGATTTCATGCGACTTCATCTCTTCTTTCCCATAGTGAAAATCGCAGCGCTCTCTCTTATTTCTATCAAAAGTTAATAAAAAATATCTACCTGGCTTTTTTTTTTTGAAATCGAAATTAGCTTTTTTAAATAGATTATCCATATAAAATGGTCGATATCTTGGAAGTTTCATATATCAAAGAGACTTTATTCAAAAACTTCTGAATTTTCTTTTAAACGAAGTTCGACTTGTTGAGTTCTTTGAAAACCTGGACTCTCTAGCAAATAGACATTACAAAAATTCGATGATTTGATTAAATCTCATTAGAAACTCTAATACGTTTCGGATTTTTATTAAAACACTATGTAGCACGTATAGCCGAAAAAAATCATTGTAATTTGAAGAGAGTATCTGAAGAACTTCCTTCGTTAGATGTCTGTCACATCTTGGAGGAAGGGAAAAGGTTGAATTTCTACTTCTATACTTCAACATTCCTTTTTATGTCATGTTTCACAACAACAAACAGTTAAGTATTAATTTCTTTTCTTTTTTTTTACCATGAATTTGATCTTGTAATCCATTTTGTTCAACATTTTTCATGGCCATACGATAATTAAATGGATCAATTTCAGAAACAAACATTTTCCATTGAGGATTAAGACGAATTGTTAAAAGAGCATGTATACATGAACAACCACAACCTTGAATATACATTAATAAAATAATTTATATATTTTTATTGAAGAAAAATTTCTTTTCTCATACCAATATCGATTCCAATGGCATCAATTTTACGGTCTATTAAATCTTCAATCCAATGAAGATAATTTAATTTTTGTGGAATTCTTGGTATAAGACGATCTATCATATTGATAATAAAGAAGAAAAAAAAAAGAACAATAATATTGATTAATAATCAAAGACAAATTCTTCTACCTAAACTTAGTTCTAAATTTAAATTAAAATCTTCTTTAGCTGCTGCTATTGTTAATGCACGTACAGCATTAGGATCACGAAAATCAAATGTAACACCACCATTATTTTTTTCAATTAGAAAAGATTTTAATGCTGGATGTTTTTCAGCAAGTTGTTTAAAATCTGGTGGATTCGTTCGATAACGATTTCGTATATGCATATATTCATTGAACGACATCTAAAAGATATGATTTATCGAGAGTGTTTCTATATAATTTATCATTTTGTAGATATATCTTTCTTTTCTAATTATCAAAATATTTTATTTAAGATAGAAATAATTCAAAAATATAGATGTTATATCCTCTTTTTATTCACTATATTTTTCTTATTACAAAAAAAAAAGACGAAATTGCAAGGAATACATAAGAAAAACAAATAATTTAAACACGCTCAATTAATAACGAAATACCTTGACCACCTCCAATACAAGCAGCACCAACAGCATGTTTTCCTTGACGTCGTTTTAATTCATATACAAGATTTGCTGTTATTCGTGTACCTGATGCACCTAATGGATGTCCAAGAGCAATAGCACCTCCATTAACATTAGTGTTTTCATTTGGTAATTTCAAAGCTTTTTGACATGCAACAAATTGTGGTGCAAAAGCTTCATTTATATCAAATAAATCAATATCAGATATTTGTTTTTTAGCTTTTTTTAATAAATTTTCAATTGCTGGTACTGGACCAAAACCCATTATTGATGGATCAACTCCACTAACATGATATGCTACTAATCGAGCTAATGGTTTAAGATTATGTTTTTTTAATGCTTCTTCATTACAAAGAATAACAGCACCAGCACCATCACATATACCACTAGCATTAGCAGCTGTTACTGTTCCTTTATCTTTAATAAATACAGCTGGTAATTTTGAAATTTGTTCCATAGTTGATTGTGGACGTGGATGTTCATCTGTATCAAAGACTTCTTCAGCTCCTTTTTTACCTTTAGTTTTTATTGGTTCAATTTCATCTTTAAAAACACCTTTATCATTTGCTTGTTTCCAACGTTGTTGAGATTGTAATGCATATTGATCAGCATCTGCTCGTGTAATATTATATTTTTTTGCTAAATTTTCCGCTAAATTTAAAATAGAAAAAAAAAAAAAAAAAATATTTCTTTTATTTTTTTGGTATTATCTCTCTTTAAATTACCTGTTACACCCATTGGTGTTTTAATATGTTCATCAGTTAAACCTTGCCAAAGAGTATCTTCAAGTTTTAAATCTTGTCCTAATTTTGTTCCAAATCGAATATTTCGTACAGCATATGGAGCTTGTGACATATTTTCTGTACCACCACATAATACAATATTTGAATCACCTAATTCAATTTCTTGTCCACCAGATACAATCGACTGAAAACCTGATCCACAAAGACGATTAACAGTTAATGCAGGAACATGAATTGGTACACCAGAACGTAAGGCAGCATGACGAGCAATATAAGCAGCATCTGCTGATGAATGCATTACATTTCCAACGATAGCACTATCAATATATTCAGGTAATAAATTTGCTTGTTTAAAAGCAGCACGATTAGCAAGATCTTGTAAATGTGTAGCTGAAAAATCTTTTAATTTACCACCATATGTACCAAATGGAGTACGACGTGCTGCAACAATGTATATAGCTCGTTTGAAAACCATGATATTTTAGTTTTTGTTGTTACAATGTCCTACGGATATACCTAGATTTACTATATAAAGTATTTAGTGAGTAAATGATGAACTTTGCTCTTACATCGTATCATCATTACATAGCATCCAATCCATTAACTACCGTACTGTGCTGTAATTTGTGCGTTTTATTAATCGAATGGAAAGAAGAAAAAAGTAGAATTTATGCCAGTCACTAGCGACCTCAATCTTAAGATTGTTGGCAGAAGAAATTAGATTTGATAAAAGTCTAATGTCATAAATGACAAAAGTAGAAGATACGATATGAATATAAAACAGATGAAAATATCAAGTTGGAAAAGAAAGATTAAAAAAAAATAATGAAGAGGAAAAAAACTAGCTATTTTAAATGTCAAGAGGTAAAAAGCATACTTCTATAATTCTGAAGTACAACAATATTGAGAAATATAAAGAAGTATCGAGAAATACCGAGAAGCATGAAGAAGTACGAATAAATATAGGAAGTATGGAGAAATCTGAAGAAGTACGAAGTATGCTTATTTTTCCTTGATAAATGTATATGCACATTCTTTTCATAATAATTAATGGCAATACTAAATTTTATTTGAAAACATTTGACAATAACTATTAAAATTTTTCATAATTATAAAAATTAGAATCTTTCAACTAATGATGTTCTTCGAATATCATTTGTTTCCACCATAGATTCGGTTGTTTCCATTGCTAAATTTTGTATACCATAGCATAAATCTAACCATTCAGTATCTTCATTTGAACATGTACATGTCAATATCTTAATACATTTGATCAACCATTTACTTCGACTTGGTGATATTGCCGATTGTATTTGTTTGATACTACTAATGTTTGTAAGATATATCACTTTAATTTTTTCTTTTCCAGTTGATGTTTTTCTTGAAAATATTGTTGGTGTTTCAATAATACGTGTAATTAAACGCATATTAGTTATAGTTGTTATTTTGGAACTAAAACAACAACAACCTAATTTATAAGTATATTCAAATCGAATATATTCATTAGGCAATAATCTATATATTGAATCTGTTGATTTGGGTTGCTTCATTATTGAATAATTAGACATGTTCCTAGGAAAGAAGCCTATAGAAAAATAACATAAAATATATTCAATTTTGTTTGAAATGAGATAAAAAGAATGATGTATGGATTTTCTTATGTTTACATTCTGTCACGTATATTATGAAGCAGTTGCTTTTTATCTTTACAGGCGCGTGTTATTCTTATATTTTAAATCATAATTTCCTTATTATATATTCATTCTATCAAGATAAAACTAATGTCTAATTTACTAGTACAAGGTAAAATGAATGAAAACTCGAATGTATTTTGAGAATAAATACGATTGATTATAGAAGAAAAAAAGAAAATATCGGAAACGATTAATCAACATTTAACAAAATCTTTTTCATTATTAACTTCTCCTAGAACATCAATTGTACATCAATATAATTCTAATCAAATCTTTGAAAATACATTCGATGAAAATAATAAACAATCTGAACAATTATCTTTTCTTCATCGTTTAACTTTATCGTTTCATCAATCAATTCATCATAAAAATCAACATAATAAATATATAAAACAAACAAATATAGATTCTATTGAAAAATATTTAGCTAACGAAAGTAATGAGTCAGTTAATACACAATCAACTAGTTGTAAGTTTGATAATAGAAAATTTTTATTTGCAACATTTTCTTTTCAAATTTCTCAAGTCACTTCTAATAAAAAATATAATCATGAATTACTTAATCGAATATCAACACTTTGGTTTGGTTCTAATGCTGAACGACGACAAGTATTTGATTTACTCGAACAAAATCAAATTAAATGTAAAATACTACCAGAATTTATAGCACATTTAGCTCATTCATTTTCGAAACATGCTATTGATATTCATGATATATCAATACGTAAAACAATGTTATATGAAGCATTAGAATTAAGTAAAATAGCATTGAAATCTAATGAAAATTGTGCATTATGTCATTTTTCATATGGACATATTATTGGAGTTTTATTAGATATAAATGATTTTTCATTAAAAGATAAATTAAATAAAGCATCTTTATTTAAACATCATATGAAAAAAACAATTGAAATTGATAAAAATTTTTATGAAGCATATGCTTATTTAGGTCGATATGAATATACAGCATTTAATTTAAATTTATTTGAACGTAAAGCAGCATTATTATTAGGTTATACAATTGAAGGAAATTTAGATAAAGCATTAGAATATTTTCATATAGCTATAAAAGGAAATTATGATATGATACATACAGTTTATTTATTAATAGGAAAAATTTATCAAAAGAAAAAACAATATGTTGAAGCAAAAAAATATTTAAAAATATGTATACAAATTCCAATACAACGAAAAAGTCAAACTAATATTGTAAATAATGCAAAAATTTTGTTGAAAGATAAAAAATTTGCAAACTTATCGTTTGAAACTTTCATTAATCATCTGAAAAATTAGAATCTATATTCATTGATTAAGTTAGAAATTTCTATTAAGATTTCTCTTAACATAATAATCTCTAATATCAATATTTTAATTGACCTTTAATAGATACCAACAATTAAATATCTTTTGAGTTTTAGTACTTAAAATTTTTTAACTAAATGATTTCGAAAAATCACGCCGAGATTGTACCTAATCAAGTTAAAATGCTATCATTGATGGTTTAACTAAAATCATGATACATCTTGCACGTTCACCCTTTTATTTAGATTAATTTCATCAGCAGTCATATATAATCATTTTTTCTTTTAAGTATATTTGATAGAGCATTGATAAACACTTGAAATTTATTGCTTAGTTCATGATAAGACAAAACATGTTCTTGTATCTTTGATTAAATTCATTTTTTTGTTCTAAGTCAAGAGAATTGTGAGATATCGATTCTTATAGACAATTAAGATTGAGAAGCTATTCAAAAAAAGACAACAATATCAGTTTTTTCATTCATTTTTGCTTTCATTAAATAAAAACCATAGAGTCAATTAATCTTTTTGACAATCATCTCGACGGTTCCAATCATATAATTTATTCAAATGGCGTTTTATATTGAGGTTCACATCGACAAGGTCAATAAATATAGACAGAACTAAAAACATATGTTCACGTTCAGAATCAACGATTGTTTATAAAAAAGAAAACGGTGAAAAACCAGAAAAACTCGCATCGAGAGGACTCGTAAAGTGTTCAGTACAACAGGATGCTCACTGACTTAGTAATCAATCATGTTTTTGACATTGATAAAGATTTCAAGACTGTATACTAGATAGAACCAATCTTAGACAGCATAGAATAAAAACGATAACACTCTTAACAATTCATTATTCTTAAAATACTTAATTTTTTAAACATTCATACATGATAATCGAACCATTCGAGTATAGGTATGTGAATATGGCTGTGTTATGCGACTGAGGATCTTTTGGATATTCATTAAGCACGTGCTCCACCGTAAATACGCTAAATATTTAAGCTGGTGTTCCTCTCTATAGAATAAATGTTCCACCATCTAATTAATATATCGCATATGGACGTATAGATAGCGTCACTCATAGAACAAAAGGGTTTCTCTTGATAAGTTTAATGTTTCTCTCATAATTGCTATGAGTTTACGATAGTTGATACTACTATCCAAGTTAGACTAATGATTATCAACAAAAAACATCGAAACAAACAGAAGTGAGAAATGAATAGGATTATAATGAGAAACATTATTTCATTCAATAACGTCGAACGTCTTGAAGAATCGAGAATAACATGTTATTATGAACAGATTTATACCAGTATTCCACAAGATAGGATTTCAACAATGTAGATTCTCGCATAATTCGAAGAATTTTTGTCTTAGTGTATGACCATAAGAATTCAATTAAGGTGGTCGTAACCAAATGATTTTTGCAACCTTGAATAGACTTCCCATTCGTTTGATCAGATGTTCATACTCGGACAGACATATTTTCATAATAAAAGTAGGCGTTATTACATCTATCCTGACCATTATGAGTTATAAGAGGAACACTATACTCATGAGGTAGAGCACTTTCGTTCTGTGACTGACATTATCTATACGTCCATATGCGATATATTAATTAGACGGTGGAACACTTTTTCTATAGAGAGGAGCATCATCTTACATGTTTAGCGCATTTGCGGTAGAGCACCTGCTTAATGAATGCCGATCTTGTGTATACTCTCATCATTACTTTAACCCATGCATCCACTTTTGATGCTATTATGATTTTGTATGTGTTCGCACATTATTAGATCAAATACCAGAAATTTTAGATTTGAAGAGGATCATTGAAAAAACTGTTTTAGAAACAAACGAAAACAAATCTTACCAATATCTAACAATGATTCAATCAAATAACCTCTTCTTATATTCAATATCGACTCATTATGAGAATAATATTTTTTTTTTTGAAAACTCATGCTTTTTCAATCTAAACAATAACAAATATATATCCTGCTTGTATAATTTTTTTTAATGTTTGATTTAAAAATTAGGATATTGATAACTTTTTTGTGCTATGAGTACAAAAAAACCATACAACTTCATCGACAATGATATATATTAGCACAATTTTATCACAAAAAAAAAAAGAAAAAAACTGCAAATCCACTAGAAATAACTGAGTAGAATTTATATATTTTTTTTAGGTCTCTGATATTTTTTTAAATTATCATATTGATTCACGATCAAAATTTAAGTTGTTTGGGTTTTTCCCATGGAAATTCTGGTCGACCAAAATGACCATAACATGCAGTTTTTGTATAAATTGGAGATTTTAAATTCAGATCCCTAAGAAAGAATATTTTTTTAAATAAAATATATCCACGAAAAAAAAAAAACTTCCAAGACTCACCGAATAATAATACCAGGACGAAGATCAAAATTATTTTTAACTATTTCAAGTAATTCTTTATTTGATTTTGATGATGTACCATATGCAAATACAGTAATTGATAAAGGTTCAGCAATAGCAATACTATATGCTACTTGAACAAGACAACGACGACAAAGTCCTGCTTTAACAAGCGATTTTGCAACCCATCGAGCAGCATATGCTCCTGATCGATCAACTTTTGACGGATCTTTACCACTAAATGCACCACCACCATGAGCACCCCATCCTCCATATGTATCAACAATTATTTTTCGTCCAGTTAAACCAGCATCACCTTGTGGACCACCAATTTCAAATTTACCTGAGGGATTTAAATAATAAATAGTTTTATCATCTAAAAAAAAAAAAACAAACAAAAGAATAATTAATCAATTTATTTCATTCATGTATTTGATTTAATCTTACCAAGAAAATGTTTTGGTACAACTGCTTTAATAACTTTATTAAGAAGATCATCTCGTAATTGTTCTTGTGTAACTTCAGGACTATGTTGAGTTGATATAACAATAGTATGAACACGTTGTGGTACACAAGCACCTTTATCAAATTTATATTCAACAGTAACCTATACAAAGATTTATTTTTTATTTCAAAATTATTTTTTTTCTTAGTATACTTGAGTTTTTGAATCAGGTCGAAGATATTCAAGTTGTCCATTTCGTCTTAATTCAGCCATTTTAGCATTAAGTTGATGAGAAAGTACAACAGTTAATGGCATACATTCTTCTGTTTCATCTGTTGCATAGCCAAACATTAAACCTTGATCACCAGCACCAATATCTTCATCAGCTTTTTTTTCATGCACAGCTTGTGCTATATCCGGTGATTGTTGTTCAAGTGCAACAAGAACATTCATTGTTTTATAATCAAAACCTTTATCAGATGAATCCCAACCAATATCACGAACAGTATTACGAATTATTGTTTGATAATCAAGATTAGCTTTCGATGTTATTTCTCCACATACTAATACCATACCTGTTTTTGTGCATGTTTCTATAGAAACAAACATTATATATACAATAATTTTTCTATGATATCAATAAATCAAATAATAAACTTACCACATGCTACTTTAGCACTAGGATCTTGACGCAAACAAGCATCGAGAATAGCATCACTAACTTGATCACAGATTTTATCTAATAAGCACAAATAAATTGAAGTTTTTTGCTTTTTCAAAAAGATAACATGAGGTCAAAAACATTTAATATTTGATAAGAAACTTCCTCTTTTTTTCTGGATTAGAAAGTACAATTATTAAAGCACAGCTTGTTCTTTTCTATTCTTTAACGCAATTCTTTCACTTCAATGCTATGTTTAATTTCATTTCAATTTATGCAAAATATACTCATAGCCTCGGGTGACACTTTTATGACTCACCAGGATGACCTTCGCCAACAGACTCTGACGTAAAAAGAAAGACTTCACCATCTGCTTTGTCCGATTCCATGATGAGGGCTTAGGTAGAAGATATGTTTTCTAAAAAAAAAACAAATTGCAAAAATTCTGTATTAAAAGTTCTTATATCATATAATTTTTTTTTTTTTTTTTTTTTTTAATTTAAAAAAAAAAAAATATTGGGTTTTTTTTCGAAAAACCCCGTTATTAAAAAAAGGGACAAAACTTACGATTAAGTGTTTTTGTAGAAAATAGGCACGTTTTTTTTTCCTTCTTTTTTTTTTTTTTTACTCTTGTTCTTTTTTTTTTCTTTTGATTTTTTTGTTCAAATTATAGTTAGACTTATACATTATTAGAAACACGCGTGACAATTGAGGTATAAGGTCATATTAGTGAAAATATGTCAAATAAGACGATGAAAGGACAAAGAAAAATAACAAAAACGTCAACATGATTATTGTCATCTTTCTTTATCATGGGTATTAATCAAAAAGATGATTCAACGCATAGACATATATGACAAAATATGAGATATGAAGAAAAAAAATCTAAAGAACAAAGCATAATACTCAATGAATTCGATTATCGTTCCGGAATAATTCAGAAGTATACTAGCTTAGAAACAAAAAAGCAATATGGATTTGATTTATGAATAGAGTAAGATTCATGCTGTTCCTGCCTGTGAAGTTACAAAGAATGAGACGACTACCGACATGGCCGTCGTTTTTTTCCTTTCTCTCTCTCTCTCTTTCTTCTTGTTTTTTCTTTCTTTCTTTCTTTTCCTTTTTTACTACACATGTACGTACGTTTGGTTCGCTTTGAGAGTATCAACGACACGAAAAAAAGAAATAGAGAAAAGAAGAAGAAGAAGAAAAAAAAAAAGAACGTAAATGATAATCATCTCGTTCTTTATGCACTATATTTTCACAAGGATATTTTCAATCAGTCAATCAAGTTTGTAAATAATCATAATTGTCGATTAATGAAAAGAAAAAAAAAAAAAAAGAGATAAACGTGAAAGAATGATCAGAGAGAATACTTTATTTTATCTAATCAATGAAGGTTTTAAACATACTTGAAATTCAATAGATGAATGACAAGAAATGACGAACGAATACATACAAAGTAAGGTATGTAAACAAATACGAA